TAGCTCTTGACCAAGGCACCTCAACAAAGGAATTCATATGGCCATGTGACGCAATGTGCTCTTGCTGCGCCTTGATAAATTGGTCCTTGAATGGGTGTCCTTCAAGGTCCTTCATGGTCTTTGGAGCTTCTGGTAGATCTCTCTTGTGCGGTCGAAACTTAATCCCAGCATTAAATGCACCATGGACTGCTGTCTCAATTCGAATCGGATGGAATTCGTAGAATCGGTAGTTGGCACTGATCTGCTGCACCTTCTTATCGCAGCAGTTTGAGTTGTGGCCTTTACTATCCACCCCCTCAGGATGATCGGGTCGGTGACGAATTGGAAGATTGGCCATGAAAATAGCTTCCGGGCTTTCTTCAAGCTCTGGATCGGTCGGTGGCGGCGTAAGATACCCTAGCTCTTCTGACCTTTCACATGTATCTTCATTGTCTTCACCGTCCGGTTCATCCTGCATGCTTATATCCACAACGATCTCATCCAGGATCTCTTCTTCATCTGACTCATCAGAATTATTGAATGTTTCTTCTTCTTCGAGCATAGATTCCATAACTTGCTGTTCTTCTGGGATTTCAATTTCTTCCAGCAGCTGACTTATGGTTTGTCGTAGTTCGGGCTGAGCTATCTTGTTCTCAAAGAAGCTAGACTCGTTGAAGACAACATCTCGGGTTAAGATAACCTTATTCTTGTGCGGAACCCATATTTTGTAGATATTTGAGGATTGGTAACCTACAAGATACCCAATATGTGCTCTCGGTTCAAGCTTCTGCTTTCTATGAAACTTGAGTTGGGCCTCTGCTGTCATTGCAAACGCCTTACAACCATAAGCCTTTAAATGACTAAGTATTGGTTGTTTCTTAAAAACACATCCGAATGGGCTGTGCCATTTGTTTCGTTCAAGAGGAGTGCGGTTGCGTAGATAACATGCAGCCTCCACAATATCCTTCCATAGGTTATGTGGTAACTTTGCTGCTATTCGCATTGTTCGGGCTTTCTCCATGATAACACCCCCTGATCTCTCGGCGCCTCCATTCTGGGCCTGAGTATTCGGGGCTGACCTCTTTGCTTCAATGGATCGAAGTTTCAGTTCTTTCCGTACTTCCTTGCTGAATAGCTCGCCGTCTGATCGTATGGCTTTTGGCTTGAAGCTGTACTGAACTTCTATCCAGTTGAAGAAGTCTCTCAGAATTCTTCGGTTTTCTTTGCCTAGTCCATGGCTCTTCAGAAAATAAGGAAAAACAAGACCAGAATATGCGTCCGTGATAAACATAACTCGAACATAGCCTTGGTAGTCTTCCGTAAGATCCGTCCAATCAACCCAGATTTCTTCAAATGGATTGCTCGGTCTGATTGGCCGCCTTCGGGAGATCTGCCGGTGCATCTTGCCTCGGCCGCAGTGGTCACATTCCGCTGTTTTTGGTCCCTTTAGCCTTACTCCGAGGCATTTCTTTCCTAACTGCTCAAGGGTCTTTGGGCTTGGATGACCTAGTCGGTTGTGCCACAACGTTCCGTCGGCAATGGCGTCTGCTCTTTGGTCTCGAGTAGTCCGTCTTTTCCGTCTGGCTACGTAAGCAGCTGCCGCCTTTAGGCTTACATCTGTTGTTTCTCGAAACTGAAGGACCCATTGTTTGTAGAGTCTTTCAACCATACAGATCGGTGTTCCAGACTTATGGATTAGCCGTGTTGGAGTAGAGAATGTATCCCAACGTATGCCCCGATCATACAGACACTGAAATGATACAGCGTTGACAGCAAATGTAGGACAATATGCAGCGTCCTTGATTCGTAGGATGCCAATTGATCCGTCTGGTCTTATGACTGGTAAATCGACTCGCCCATAACCTTCGATTTTAACCTCTGAATCACCAGCAATCAGGTAGTGTTCCTGTCCGGCTTCTGGTTTTCTTATCGATTTGAACCTAGCAAGTTCGTTGAATATATCTAACGATGGTTGACGATCGTAAGGGATACTGGTCAGCTTGCAAGCAGGTCCCTAGACATATTGGAAATGCGGCTCCTTGCGGTAGTGCCTGGCCAACGATTCGTCTGCCCAGGCTTGATTCGGCGTATTGTCAATTTAAGGACACTTGCTTTTTCTCTTGATCGAGTTGGTCATGGGTTTTCTGAGCTGCGTTCTGCCACCTTGGCTCTTAGTTCCGGGTCAGCAGCCAAGGTTTTCTTGACAAGGTTTTCTCGACGCTTATTTGCCGTTACTCCCTCTGGCCGTAGTTCTGGGATGGTTACCCAACACGTGCTCAAATTATGCCCCGGTAATCTGCAAGCTTCACAGGCCATAGCGTGTTTCTTGTTACTGCCATCTTGATTGTCTGTTCGTGGCCTCTTCCGACAAGACGGGTTTTGAGTTATACTCTCACTCTGATCACTCTCGTTAGTGTCAGCCTGGAATGCTGTTCCTCGCCTAATTGACGGCTTTGGTGGTTGTGCTGGGAGAGCAGAGCTAGCCCAGGTCCGTAACTTGACTGCGACACTTCCAATTGACCATTCCTTGCTTGCATCTGTGGCTTTTGGAGGCGTATGGATTAGAGCTCCTTGAATTGCCAATGCTGCTTCTCGTAACCTGCCGTGATCACTGAGGTCATTTAGCTGTAATAGCTGCTGTACCCCTCGCTCAACGGCCTTGTTGTAATCTTTTGTTTTTGAAACAAATGATTCTGCAGCTTGTCTGCAGTTATCAGTGAAGTTGCCGTTATACTTTGCCATAAGACGGGCAATGTCAAATAACCAGCGACCCCCAGTAACTTCAAGCATTCGATGCCGTGCGGCTTTAAGGAGGAAGTTCTCCCACTTCCAGATCCAATCGCCGAAAGTTGTTGAATCGGTGCAACTGAATGACCGAATAATCTGCTGATATTCTATCACAAGTGCGTCTGTTGCCTTGGTCTGTTCAGCATTGACTGCTACCGCTAGACTATCGATCCATCTGGGGAGATCGTCGTCTTGATCAAGATAACGACCTAATCTCTCATCCACATGGCTAATGATAACACTTCTAGCTTTGGTAAGGTTGGTTTTCTGTTGCTCGTATTCCTTAGAGCTGTCTTTCCAATTATCGCGCGCTAGTTTGAAAGCATTGACTTGAGACGCCGAAAGGTTGGCTTCGGTCTGAGCGTTTGCGTTAAAGTCAGATACCTGCGGTCTTCTTGGCTTTTGTAGAAGCACTTGAGTTCGGTTTGCAGGTTTAATCGCTTCCCAGATGTCTATATCAATTAAACTTGCAACAAACTTCTGCCAGTCGTCCCAATTGTCGATCCCCGTGAGGATAACTTCAGTCTTGGAAGGTGGCATTTTGCACGTATTCAGAGGGATTATTGTAACTTAGCTAACTGTCTCACGAACACTATCGTTGTGTTCTATCGATGTGCAGTTTTTCGCAGTGTGGCTGTTTCTTGTCTACAGCCTAGTGCGCGGGTCCGGGCTCATAACTGTTGCGTCAAAAAGAGCAAAATTATAGGTCTACTGAATTCCTTCTAGTAGCACTAATAATAGTGGCCTATATTCTATGCGACAAAAGGGTTGACGTACAAGCCAAAGCGTTCCCACCGGGCCAACCGCGGCTTTACACCAGTTTAGTTGACCCATGAATGACAGTTGCATCCGCGTCGACGCATGCATTTGCATCAATTTGGTTTAGTTGCTGAAACAAAGCATGGTTGCAAATGGTCCGACCTGGGTCACAGGACCTTCGAGCCTGCGTACATGCCGAGAGTATAACTTGTTCAAGACCCGGTCCCCATCTTTGCCTCCGAAGCAAAATGGATCACCAGTCGTTCAAAGAGCGAATGAAAACTCTCACAGCCATGGCTGAGACGAAGGCTAAGGTGACGGCGAAAGGGCCGACCAACAAAAACGACAGAGACTCTAAACTCTGGTCCCTTGTTTGTCTCGCTCGGGAAGTCGGCGCGGATGCGGAGGGCATCCAGGCCTATACTCATTTTGTTTCTGAAAAGAAAGGCCTAGAATACGAGGTTTGTGAGAAGTCGAAAGAAATCTCAAGACTAAAGCAGGAGTTGGCGCAATATAAAGGGATTGCATCAACCGAAAAGTCCCTGTTGATGCGAGAATTTGGCGAACAATACAAGATATTCGCCGACAAGACGACAATGTTAGAGACTTATCGCGAAAGAGTCGAAAAACTTGAAACAGATCTCGAAATGATGGATGACAGGGATAAGTCACAGCGGGAGCAGCTGATAACACTAGACAAGAACGTTAAAGCAACGCAAACTTCATTCAATCAACTCCAAAGGAAGATGGAAATTGCGGAGAGAGATTGCATAATACATGGGTCCCAGTTACAGGCCGCGAAACAGAAATTTGATGACTTGGAGAGAAGACTAAGAACAGACTTCGGTCATAATGTCTTCCATGAGACCGACGAGACTCGAGTTGCAATACTGTAAGACTTCAATTTCAGTCTGTTTTTCTACGCAAGTTTACAGTGCCTGTGAGTGGATATACCTAATAGTTAACCGACTATGTCATAGCCGAGAACATTTTAATTCTCTCTCAGAAGAATCCTGCGCCATTATTAAGGAATTCATGTCTGACACAGA